TTTTTAAGATGAAAACTGAAAGCAGAAATATTTCCAATAGTCAATAAACCACAGAATGTATGTCATTTAATTCAAATTTAAATTAATTTTTTTTTCATCGCACATATTCGTCATGCTGCCCTCTGTCTGCGTTTTCTTTTTTCATATGCACTTGTTTTTACAAGTGATCAGGATATTTTTAGGTGGGACTATTTAACACTGTATACTATACTATATAGTATACTATATGTATACTGCATTTACTGTATATTGGATGCAGTATATTGCAATTCAAAGTACACTAATTGTGGCTCACTGAAACTGCTAGAATGAAGTAGGTTGCAACGTTTGGTTAAACAAGTGGACATTTTCTATTATAATTTATTGTAAATATACCGACTCATATTGACACGGTAAAATATGTCCTCTGGATTTTACCCATCAACCCATTCCTGGGGGACAGTGAATGCTTTGGTCAACACACCACAGCTGGTCGAGACAGGAGTGAACATAAATTTCTGAACACACGGCCCATCTTCTTATCACCGCTCAGCAACAGATGATCAGTAATAGATAAATATTCAGTAGTTTCTCACACTCTGGTCCTGTTTAGTTGAACACAATACTGACCTGCTGGCAGGAATGGAAGAAAGACAAAGATCTTTTTCAACAGCGCAGAGTTGCTCCCAGTTTTTTTTTTTACTTTATTTATATATCCATCTGCTGCCACCTAGTGGAAGATTATTAATCAGATTTTGGACATATTTAGTGAAATTTTCCTCGGTCCACAATCTCTCATGGTACAGAAATGTGCCGCGGTCGATGGTTAGGAGTCGCTGGCTTATTTAACATCACCGTCCAGGTCATTGCATATTTATTGAAACCCAACTTAAATAAGTATCAGTGACTGTACACACTATCAGAGAGTACACAAATGACATGAAAGTACTCCTGTACTCCCAAAGTGGTACCAGGACAGAACCCTGTTTGTAATCTTTGGTTCTTTCGACCCGGTCCGTTCTCACCCCCGCAAAGTGACAGAACGTGCTGCTCTTTATTCTCTCCTCCTTCCCTCCCCTCTCCTTCTCCCTACACCTTGCTCTAGTGTCACTGTGACTCTTCACCTCCCCCTCACCCCCCCCCCCCCCCCCCCCCCCCCCCCCCACCCCCCCCTCTTTCACTTCCGTCGCAGCGATGCTCGACCTAGTCAGCTACGCTGCTCTGTGTCGGGGCTGAGTCCTGACTGACGGCTCAGTTATGGGGCCGGAATCAAGGAAGCAGACGCTGATGTCATGGCGAGACGCCCCAGGGACAGTCATCAGACGAGGAATGTCATAGTATTTTGGAAAAGCCGACGGGTGATGGAAGACAAAGTTATTAGACGCCGTTGTGTTTTTTGTCAACTCAGTGACACAGTTGTCGCATTTATAACATAATGTTATCAGAAAGGAAGGACATTTTCCTATGACATCATTCTGTCTGTCTGTTGTTGTTGTTGTTGATTTTGTTTGTTGTTGTCCGAACAGTCCTCGCAGCAGAAACGAAAAAAAAAAAAAGTTCTTGAATAACAAGTGTGCAGTGGTCAAAGTGACCTTGAGTGAGGCTACTGTAACTCTAGGATGGTGACGAACGTCAACCACAAAAATTTTCCACATCACACGGTCACACTGTTTGTCTGCACATGGTTTTGTTTGTTTGGTTGCACAGCAGAGGTTCTGGGGAGGCTGAGTCTACGGCGCCACCTGTGACCTCGTTGGAGAGAGGTGATGAAAAATTAACATGGGAAATTGAAGCGCTTTTTTTTTCTCTTTCTCTCCCTCTCTTTTGTTATTTAATATATCTACAGTCCATACATGATGTTTTTGTCCTCACCTCGATCTGGGACAAAGACGTCACGAGGAGCAGCACCAGCAGCAGGTGCTGTGGTTTTCATCAAGGAAACCGAAGAGCACAGCGAGCTGCTCTAAAGTGATTTATATCTGTGAGGTGCAAAACTTCAGGTTTTCACACTGAGACACTGAGATCACATCTACCGTCCTCTACTGTCTCTGCCTGTGTGTACCGTGGACGTCTACTCTGTAGCTGTAATTATGAACCATTATTGTGGCTTGATTGTTGATTCACCGACTCAAATTGTAATTGGATAAACGCGTCTGCTAAATGTATTGTAACTTTAACTGTAACTTTATTTGATGTCGATGTTACGATCTCATGACCTGGAGCGACAAAGTGTCCACTTTAATTGACTTATTTAAATGAATTAATTAAGGTTTTAATTGTGTTCATTAATTTGTGAAATTAATCAGATTACATTTTTTAAATCATTTGAACGCACAGAATAGAAAAGGATACACACTCTAAATCCAACAATTAAATTATCGTTGCTTCAGTAAACAGTCGATACACCTGTTGTTATTTGCACACGCTGTGGAAAAAAAAAAAAAAAATCTCACAAAGGAACTCACCAACCAAAACTCTCAAAGTAGGTCAATGAAATCCACTCTATGAAGAAAATGTACAATTGATTGATTACAATCATGATTAATTTATAAATAATTTATACTTATAGTAGATTTTTAAAAAAAGCCTTTTCCTAACCTTAAAAAAAAACTATTAATGATGAGTTCAGGCTTTAAATATTGTTACGGTTTGGTTAGCGTTGACGCGCAGGAAAAGCTAACAAACAAACAGAGGTCGAGACCTGACAAGAACGCCTGCATGAACCTGTGTGTGTGTGTGTTTGTGTACGTGTGCAGACTCAGACTTGTAACCACAGCATTAACAGGTGCCTTGAACACACACACACACACACACACACAGACGCATCTCCTCTGACATCCGACATTCCAACAAGCGTGCTCCTCATCCACTGTCCTCATGAAGCTCCTCGGACTCTGAAACACTTTGATTACGAGATCCCTTTACATGACGGAGCCGACAGTGAAACATGAGCTGGAGGTGACGCTCTGTCAGATCGTTATGGATTGCACTGTATGGAGGATGAGGTCACCGGGCAGAGGCAGAGCTGCTTTTTCTCACTGTCACTTTTCTAATTGTAACGACAGGCAGGGTCATGTTGCTCCTAAATTAAGATCTTAATCTTCTCAGCAGCATCGGTCCGGACAGGGCCCTCGGCCCGGTGGACACAAATATTGACACGTGCATCTACAGGCGTATGGCAGGAGTATCGGTAAAACATTACTCTGTCCCCGCGTTATTAATGACAGCTGATTAGCTGACCTTGGCGATGACAAGTTCGCACACAGGGCGAGGGATACAGCTGCATGTCAGGGGTGGGGCTCGTGGGGGCGTGTAGATTTCGAACATTGTGTTCCACCGTGGAGCGCCGAGTCAATATGATGAAATGGGAGGCAGCTGTTGTGTGGCATGGCATGGCGTGACGTGTGACCGAATTCACCGGGGAAGCGCCAAAATGGATGCCGATCTCCATATCTCTGCACATGCTGGGAAAACAGAGGTGCTGTGTGGCAGGAGGGCTCCATTAAGGCCCATCAAATATTCATCTGCAATACAGCACTGAGCCTGCGGTGGTCACACCACCGCAGCGCAAACCATCGGGAGAAATCACGGCCAAAACAACAACACAGTAAGAGGCCGAGAAGCTCCTTTAATTATCTCCGACAGCAGGTCAGACGCATCCATTTATCGACGAACGGAGGCTGAGGTGCGGCGACGCCATTACATGAATCACTCAGCTCATCGACAACGATGCTGGGCTGATTGGAAACATTTTTAATGAACACGGAGACCAGCGTCTCACATGGCCACTTAATGCAGGATGAAACAAACGAGAGTAGAACGATGACATCATCAGAGATCGCAGAGTGATACGTTAAGTTAACTCTAAAACTGTCAATACAAAACGCCATCGATGAATCAAACCAGGCTGTGATCAGGTCAGATGTGTTTAGTGCAGTTTGATGGGTAATAATTACCTTAGCATGCTAACAGGCGGCGTATAATGACATTACCAACCAGTTAACAACCATGAGGATCTGGACCTGTTCTGTGATCAGTTTATTTATGCCCAGCCGACGGCTATTTGTACAGGGTTAGTTTGTTTATTTGTTTTCACACACTGATCTTATAATCTTTAAAATACTTACACAAATAAATGTATTTTTTATTTTTATTACTTGTATAAAAAGACAATTCAAATATGTATGTAAATATATTGGCAACTTAACCTTTAACTTTTTTTTTAAATTTTGATGGATGTTATGTTCTGCACTCCCCTGCAGGGCGTGCTATTAACTCATATTGCCGTGTTAAATTAGTTTATTAGTTATTGAGTTAGTAAAACCAGACTTGTAGAGAGATTGAGTAGAAACATAAACCAATTATATATGAAGTCTGTTGTCACTACAATATTAACTCCATCATTATGTTGAATTGGTTAATCTGATAAACAAATTATGTCAATAGACACTGGACATAGATTGGTTGTTGACCTGCAATCTTCAAACCTGTTTTATGGCAAAGTTGTCTCTAACCTGCGACAGAATTTGTGCTTAATAATGTTTAGCAAAAACAAAACAAAACAAAACAAGAAATTTCAATTTCCAAGTCAATTTTAATTTTAAAGCCAAACATCTTTTGCCAGTGGACACAGAAGACACATTTTGATTACAGCAGCTGCCGATTTTCGCTCTTTGCAGTAAAAGACTGCCATCTATTGGTCAATTGTTGAATCTGATCCATACAACCCAACATTAATATCTGAACAATAGGCTAAAGCCTAGGGGTCACCAACTATATTTGTCGGAGGGACAGAATTTCTTTGGACAGACACCTTGGGGGCGGGACACTGAACTAAAATGAACTAAAAATGAATTATTTTGTCTAACATTATTATTTGATGATTATAGTTTATTTCTGTGGCCAATACAAATGCAGTTAATTATAAAACAATATTTCTTAATAATTATTTTTACTTTATTTTAAATTAACCACTTTTCGAAGCGGGTTTATTACAATAATAATTTGATTCCCAGGCTGCTTTGCGCGTCCAACGGCACATCAATGACGTCAAAATTAAGCGCCATTGACAGGGAAGCAGCCACAGCTTGCCCGCGTTAAAACGTTTTATATTTTAACAACGTCTTGTAACAACGCTGTTACACTTTGCTCGTAGAAATGTCTGGAAAGGCGAAAGATATTTTAAAGTTGGACCTGTACGGTTTACTCGGTATCGACAGCACTGCTACGACGAAAGAGGTTAGTAAACAGCAATGCTAAAACACTGTTGGCTGCTTTAAATATAATAATATATTAATTATAATGTTCTATGTATGTGTATCAATGTGTGAATATTGTATATTCTGATAAATATGTGTTTATTTCCATAATTCAGAGGGAGGTTAAAACAGGGTAGTGACTTTATCTTTTAGAAACTAAAACTGGTCCAGTTTCGATTAATTGAGAAACCGACGAAGGCTTTAAAGCCTTACTTTTATAACGTACATTGTCAAAAGTGCAGTGACATGAATTAGTGAGACAAATTACGTTCAAAATACTACGAACAGAGTAAAATTAACCTTAGTAGTGAAACCTCTGTAAGTTATACAGCGAAGACGTCACTAGGTGGAGCTGTTGCATCAGTTAAGTCAGTGATAGGTTGTACAAGAAACTGACCTAAAGTGCCTTTCAAACAATGATGTGGAATGAATATAAATTCATGTGGCTTTCATTTGGATCCTACCGCTACATTGTTTACTTTTAGTCTAAAGCTAAGCCATCACCGCTGATTACGTATGGTCTCCGAGTAAAAACAATTACCTACAACGATGTTGTCTTGAAAATGACTCACTGGAGCAGGGGGTGGGAGTTAATTTTTTTATTATTATTATTATTATTAAAGTTTGACATGTGTTTGCTTGCCTCTGTGTAATACGAACATGATGGTTGAATTACCGTTTGTATCCGTTTGAATTTGGAGCCAAGGAATCTTCTTTATTTCATTTCTTTTTCAACCCGCAATTGTCAGAAATCATGTGTTGAATGCAGTGCTTTCTCTTAACCACAACTCATCACGGTTTTTAACAGCAATCCGCAGCCCTCAAGGGAAGTTTCATTTGCTGCCAAAACAGGGGGGGTGCGGGTGGGGGGCAGTTAATTTTTTAATTGTATTTCATAGTCTTGTCCTCTCCAGAGGATAATTCTGGAGGAAGTTAGCAGTTGTGGCTTGGACAGAACCAAGGCTGTGAAATTCAGAATGGTAGTTATCCTGGTTCTGTTTTGCATCGCTCTCTATGATGGTGGATTCATTTAAAATAAATGTACAAGAATAAATCTAATCTTTCAAGATAATTTGGGACATTTGATGTCTGCTGCCATTTAGTGGCATCAACAGAAATTACACTAGATTCGTTCTAAACACAAGGATTGACATCCAGCTTTACTGTTCTAATGCATGAAACACAAGGATTGACATCCAGCTTTACTTTACCATACCTTGTGTTTGGCTGACTGGATTATAAAGCCCAAGTCTCATATAAATACAGTGTAAAGTGGGATGTTCAAGTAGGATTTAATGACATTAAGTCATGTGTTTCTTTTAATTGTGAGTCTAAGAAATACTGTTGGATAACCGACGTTCAATGATTTGTGCCTCCATGTGCTTTAAGAATGACCAGATTGACATAGATGTTGATTCCTACAGCAAATGGAACACTAAAAACCAATTTTTTTATTTCAATTGAGACACACAGCCCAGGTAGTTCCTTTTATATTTATCTATTTAAACACATCTATCAAAGTTCCTGTCAAGTTCTGTGTTTTATTTAAAGCTGCCCTAATAATTAAAAAAAAAGTTAAATTAATTTATATAGTGAAATTTTTCTATTTAAAACACTATACAGTATTCACTAATACTCCCTTCATGTGGTGGTCTGGATATATGGCACCAAGGAAAGTGCACCGCTGAGTTACTGCGGCCCGATTCCCCTCCTGTTTTCAGTTTCAAATTAAGATAATTTTATCAGAGTTTCCTCTTTGCCCTCGTCTTTGCCCCTTCTCCTTCCTTCTCCCTGTTGTGCATGTTATTATTATTTTCCTCTAGCTAATGTTCCATGAATAGTTGTAATTAAGGAGGATGGGACCTTAGCAGATCAGGCAGCTAATCAGCCACACAGGCTGGGGGCCCTGGTGGGGCTGTGCTGCGGCTCCACCAGCACCAGTTTGTCAACAGTAATTGGTACCAAAGAGGAGTGTAATGAGTACAAGATGTAAGCGTGCGTTTAAGACAGGCAGGGATCAGGGTGGCATATAAAGTGTGGTTTAACTATTAATCCACTGTTGAACTTCTGGGCCAGGATCTTTCCCTCAAATGGTTCTTTGTTGTTCCTCTGCAGACATAAAAGTAGGAAAGAGCTACGATTTTACTGTCAGTTTGTCTTCTATCTAATGGCCTCCGTAGACTGTACAATTTTGCAAGAACATAGCTGGAGACGCTATGTGACATGGATCTAAGAAATGTCCGATTGTACAATCACCGTTTACTGAATCGCGGGATACGACGTACGTCAGTATGCAACATCATCAGCGTACATCCTCCATCTGCGCCGCCATAGTTACCAAAAAACGTTCGAAACGATTGAAACAAACATTAAAATGAAGCCCTTGATGTGACATTTTTGTGCTGGGGAAAAAAATCTGAAGAAGCATTTCTATTGGCTGATAAGTAGACGTAGGTCGTAGCAGCTATTACACATAGATAGCCATGCTAAATTTGTCACAGCGCTAGAATTTAATCTCAGGTTATCGTTGGTTGCAAGACGTCAACAATGGCTGTAGTGTGATGTAAGACCACCGTTTTAGAACCACGACCAACGATATCGCCACGTTTCTACTACGATGGTCGTCTTTCATGTGGGACAGGCCAAAATCGCAGTGTATCTCGGGCATCGAAAGAAAAGAGGACACTTTACGATGTGATATGGTTGGACTTGTAACAGTCAGAAGATGAAGCAGAATAGAAAACGCACATCTCTGTTGTTCTCGTAGCACGAAGAAAGCAGCGGTTTATACCAGTCGAGGGGCTTTAAAGGACTCTGTCTGTGATTCAAGAGCCACTCCTCAAAAGGTCACGGTGAACTGCGTGGAGATGATTGCTTCAGTAATTCACCAGATTAGTCCTCTAGAAAGATGTCACTCGATCTGAGAGCTCTTATCCTCACATGTCCCGACCTTCTCAAAAGTTGGCTGTTTCTGCCTTTTAGTTTGGGACCAAAGGGCTCCGAGCTCTTCCAGCATCAATTAAGGCTTGCGTGTCACAGCAGTGAGCGGAGCAATCATGTATTATTTAAAGAAGAGAACTGGAAGCACAGTCGAGAGAAAATCTTGTGGATAATGACAGTCGGAGTGAAGGGGAAAAGCAGGTAGATGGAAAAGAGAGAAAAATCCCAGGAAGGGAATTGAGGTAATGAGGTGAAATATAGAGAAACACATGTGAGTGAACCCAGTTAGAAAAATATAATGGTGTTCAACATGGCTTCTCTAAACACGAGCGGGATCAGCGATGACAGGTTTCACTTTTCCAGCGGTTGAGTGAGCCGGACTTTAGCGTTGAAAAACATCTGCGGCGTTAACGATGGACGTGGTGACATGTTTATCTTGTCAGTTGGCTGCAGGTGATGAAGAACATGGGAAACAGTGTCGGTGTGGACAGTAGAGTTGAGGACATGGTGTCTTCCTATAAGTCTGTTGCGGTGAATTTCTAACTATTTTATGTTGTGTTTCGTCCAGTATTGTGCAACAAATTTAAGAGCAGTTTGTCCTCATGATTAATTTAAAAAAAATATATAATGGTAGTAATACAGTGGTTCCCAAACTTTTGTCCTATGACCTCACTTTGACCTCACAAATTTCTGGCAACCCAACAGACATTTATTTTCCAGTTACATGATTATAGCCGTTAATTAAGATACCAGCTCAGATATGTTAATCTGCTGCATTTTATTAGTAGTAGTTGATTTATATTCATGAAAGCAAAAATAATACTGTTGTTTATGATTGTATGTGGTGTTTTTAATCACAATTTCAAAACAAATATTTATTAGTTGATCAGTCTTTTTTTTTGTAATCAATTACTAGACACATCAGATGACCCTATTTGTATACCAGGCGACCCCACATGGGGTTCCGATCTGAAGGTTGAGAAACACCGGGTTCACAAAAACGATCGTTCAAATAAACATTTGTACATGTACGGCCTAAAATAAATTATTATTAATTTCATTTAAAAAGTCTAATAACAATAATAATAATTGTCATTCACCAAACGGTGGTGTAGTTTTAAGTTCTTCCAACTAGTACTTCACGTGGCTTTGGCATGACTTTAAAGACATTTCAAATACAACATTTATTGTATTATTTATTTATAATTATTATAATTATCATTTTTTTTTTTACTCTAGTCTCACAGGGGACAACATTCAGCAGATGTCTTTTTTTTAGTATTTTATTTCTTTACCATATATGTACCTGGATGTGGATACATGTCAGTCAGCTTCAAATGAAAAGTTTGGGTTTTTTTGTCTTGTTTTAACGTAGCTGACACAGGGAATATGAT